CCCAGAGAATCGATAAAAAGAATAAGGGCAGTGAATTGAGAATCCAGACAAGGCTCAGCTAGGCAACCACATATCACTGGACTCTGAATATTTAAGGCATTCCTCACTTACAGAAGCAAATAATATTGCTTTTTTATTTGTCATAACAAGAAAAGGATGGCATTCCAGTTTTGTTGACATGTCATTGAATCTGATTTTACTGAAAACTAGATCTATAATACATTACATTATTTCATATGAAATATTGTAGACAAGACAGATATCTTGAAAGATCTTCTCACTAGCAGAAATGCTAGAAATAAATATAACAAATAACCCTCTTTAAATGTAGAGTTGAATTTGAAAAAGGTTGGGGAAATCCTCAAGGGTCAAAAACAGATGGAAATCAAACCAGAGTGTTAAACTTGTGTCTTGGTTCTCCAGTGCTGCTGTAACAGAAATACCACAAGTGGATGGCTTTAATAAACAAATATTTATTTTCTCAAAGTTCAGGAGGTTCTAGGTGAAGGCTGTCTCTCTCAGTTGGCTCTGAAAAAAGGTTCTTATATCTCCAGCTTCTACTTCCTGGTTCCCTGGAGATCGCCATGTGTTTTGGCATCAGTTTTACTCCATGTCTTTTCTGCTCACTTAATTCTTTTATATCTCAAAAGAAATTCACTCAAGAGAATCCTGCCTCATTAACATAACAGAGGCAACATGCTCCCAAATGGGATTATTATCACAGACATAGGGGTTGTGATTTACAACACATATTTTGAGGGGACAAAAGTCAGTCCCTAACAACTAGCATTGAAGTGTAGCTGTGTTTAGGATTTACTAATGTCAGTTACCAGAAGTCTGTTTTTTTTAAAAAGACTGTTGAGAGCCAGTAAATGAGATCTTAGGATGTATTAGGTAGGGAATTGATCCAGGAACCCTCAAAGTACTACACCTTTAATGAAATGGAAGGCAAGAAAACCCATTTACCTGGAAAGATTGATGACAAGGAAACATGTCCAATTTAACATAATAACAGGTCAGTGCTCTCCAGGGTCGATAATTTAAATGTACTCTGCTTAGGTGATCTACGAATGCCCATGCCAGAAAAATACCAAAGCAGCCCTTGGTCAGAAGTACCTGGGTTACCTGACAGAGCCAGTGCAAATCTTCTTTGGAGGGATGCATTCCAAAAGAATTCCATAGATTAAACAACACAAATGTAAAAGAAGCTAATAGACATATCTTAGTCCAAATTAATGAATTTTGGGCTGTCTTCTTTCTTCTAAAAAAAGAACATTGCTTTTCTAACTATGTTAATGTTGCCTTAAATATATAGCGGGTAGAGAGTAGAGAGTCTAACTGATCCCATGCAAGAGGACAAGATGAGTCTACTAAGTGCTCAGGGGAAAGAAGAAAACAAGTAGGGGTGCTGTTCCTTTTCATTACAAGTTGAGGATCAGGAACCTGAGACCATTACTAACTTTCTAGGAAGGCCAAAAGAATAGATTGAAAGTAGCTGCCAAGAGGGAATTAAGAATGACTGGGGGGCCAGTGGGTAAGGCATTCGGCTGCTAATCAGAAGTTCGGGGATTCAAACCCACCAACTACTCTGTGAGAGGAAGGTAAGGCAATCTACTTCCATAAAAGTTTACAGTGTTGGAAACCCCAAGAGGATCACAATGAGTCAGAATTGACTTGCTCATAGTGGATTTGGTTTGTTTGTTTTTTGAGGGTTAATGATTGAACATTATAGACTGGCAGGACAGTGGTAATTACAGACATCTTAAGGAAAGTCATTTTAATGTGTACAAAATTGGTAGCTAGTTTTAATTACTATGTAAGTTTGTCTTGTGCTGGAAACAGTTTTGAGTACTTAACAATCTGTTTCTAATTTATGTTGTCCTTATGTTTCTAGTTCACACAAATCAGAAGCCAAAGTTAGGTTGTTTCTAGTTGACAATAAGCTAAAGGGAACAAGACAGGAAGATGAGTCAAGTCTGGATTGTAGAACTTTAGGCCACACTGAAAGATGTGGGCATCATATCTAAGAAGATAGACTGACATTATGCTGCCAAGAAGCAACATGGGAAGAATATGCAGGCAGAGATGATAGAGTGGAAAGACAAAGGGAGTCAGATCCAGCTCAAGGAAAGCAGGAATAGACTCCAATCAGCCTGACATAGGTACAGACCGCACATGGGAAAATTGACATAGAATCTGCATCTCTTGTGATCTAGGAAGGGCAAGTAGACCTCACAAAACACAAATCGTGTTTATCTCCTCCCTCCAAGAGAAGAGCCACAATGCTTATTTGCTGGTGTGTGGAAGATCCTGATTAAGAAAGACAATGACTTACAGTTGGGCAGTTTCTTAGAGCAAGGTAGCATCTACGAATGACACAGAACTCAATCATTTAATTTTTTATCGCAAACTCTCTGTACCTTTATAAATAAAACAGTTGTCTTGAATAATTTTTTAATTCTTTTAATAAAGATAGCTAAAACAATTGCTTTTTAAAAAAGATTCCGTTAAAGACTAAGGAGGAAGTAAAAGATATATTCTCATCAAATAATTGTCTTTGACAGATTCTTCAAACACAACTTTTGTTTGTCTGCTTGTTTTTATGTAGCTGCTAAATGCCAGGCACCATACTAAGAGTTTTCATAATGTATTATTCAACCATTTTTAACCATTTAATTTTCAGTTTAGTGAAAGGAAAGGGAAGTATATTATAAATTATTTACTTAAATAACATATGTGCATGGCTAGAAATAACTGCTGAATGTGATTATAAACTCTAGCTTGAAAAATATATATATATTTCTGCAACATGATAAAAGATAAAAACTATATATTGTATGCTTTTGCTCTAAATAGAAAACTCTCCAAATTAGTAAGTGCAGTAATCATTCTATGGGTCTCAAAGCTGGGTAATTATATTTATAGACATGTGAGATAATTTCTCCTACATGAGAATGAGAACATTAGCACAAACTGTTGCCTGCTAGACAAATTTTACTGAAGAATTCAGCAGTGTCTAAGAGTTTATTTTGCTCTTAGAATGTTTTGAAAAGTGCCACCCTATGAAAAAATGACAATAAGTACATAACATAAGTAAGGTGCACTGGAAATCGGAGGACTTATTTCTTAAACCAGTACCAACAATAATCAAGTGAATTGCTTTTTCTCTCATTGTAGAAGGAATAAATAGAAAACCCTCATTTGTAATTTCTAATATTAAAGAAATTGATAATAATTTACTTAATTTTTGTAAAGAAGTTCATTTTGGATTTCAACCATAGTAAAATATATAATCTTTAATTGCATGCATATCAAGCTGTGTTACTTTAGACTTACTTTAATTGAAACAGAAAGAGTAAAAGTGCTCAGCAGTAAGCAGATTACAAGTCCATCAGAAAGACTTGCCTCTCAAATGGAGGGTATTGCCAAGTGTCACTAACAAAAGGAAAAACATTCTGTTACCTGCCCTGACCTTATACCTTTTTAATAGGGTCGATCCTCCACTGTCCCGAGGATTACATTGCTTTAATCCATGAAAGAAACATGGTCTCCCCTTTGCCAGGGAAACTCAAAATGCTTAGAAATCTGCCACAAGCATCGATACCTTGCTCTGGAATTCCTCCATGACCATCTTCCATACACTGATTCTTTTACTCTTCACTCATTATTTCTTTGTTTCTCAGCCCCTATTGGATCAGTACCTTTGTATTCAATTTTGACTCCCTAGAAGATTTCATATTTGGGTGTGTTAAACAGCCTTTGAAATGGATGCTCCAACAATGTATTACTTTCAGAATATCTTTGTCAGATCCTTGCCTTGAAACCATCAGAAAGAGGACTCAGCCCTGAAACATTCCTAAATCCAAGACACAGTTAATCCAACACACAATGCTCAGAGACACTTGATATCCAAAATGTCCTGATGTAGGGAGGAGATTGAACAATTAGCAGCTGATTCCATGAGTCCTGCATCATTGCTACATAGACTCAGCTTTTTACTTCAAGTTCCAAGCTTACCCCTTAAGCTTGACATACTCAATTTCCCCAAATTATTCAATACAAGTAGGGATAATCTTCTATCTCTTTGGGCTCCTAAATATTTCATCAGTCACACCATGAAATGCTCCATAAACCACATTCTGATCTTCTTTGCTATTCCTCATTCCAGTTTCTCCCAACCTGTGTCTTGTCTGACTGTCTCTCTCTGTCTCTCATACCCATACACAAACACACACACACACGGATGGTGAGATTAGATACAAAGCAAAGGCATTAATAATTTCACCGTACTTTGCATTTATTAGACTGCAACAGGAACTCTGTAGTAAAATTAGATTTTAACAGGTCTATTGACAAATGGGGGAATGGTGGAGAGTCTAGAGTTTCTACTCTATGAGAAACAGATGAAAGAACTTGTTGTTGTTGTTGTTATGTGCCGTCGAGTCAGCCCTGACTCATAGC